CCCCCTAAAGCCCAGGGCTCTAGCTTCAAAGCATCAGCGCAATGTATGTACGGCAGCAGCCAAAGTGCGCACTGCAGGTGAATCATCTCCACGCTGTCGCTCTTTGCTGCTTCTTCTGCATCCCACTGCTGCTGCTGCTGCTGCTGCTGCTGTTGCTGCTGCTGCTGCTGCTGCTGCTGCTGGCGAGAGCGACGCAGAGATAGCGCTTGCTTCAGGGCCCCTCCCTTCCTTCCGCAGACGCAGCAAACAGCAGTAGACAAACTGAAGCTGCTGCGCTGCTGCTGCAACCCCACAAGCCTCTTCTCCCAATCGCAGCGCATGCAAAGCCAGCCCTCACCGGTGGGTGCTGCTGCTGCTGCTGCTGCCGCTGCTGCTGCTGCTGCTGCTGCTGCTGCACCTCGCGAGTGTGGGGCGCAGTAGGGTATTGCGCAGTAGCAATGCCGGTGTACAGACATCTGGCAGCAGCTGCAGCGCAGCAAACGATTCCAAGGGCTGCTGCTGCAGCCCCAGCAGACGCAGCAAAATGACCCGCTGTCTCCTAAGCCGTCAGCGTCCCCACCCCGCTCGCTGCTGCTGCTGCTGCTGCTGCTGCTGCTGTTGCTGCTGCTGCTGCTGCTGCCGCGGCTGTCGGATGCAGAGGCTCCGCATCGCCTACTGTCTGCAGCAGCAGCAGTTCCTGCTGCTGCTGTTGCTGCTGCTGCTGCTGTCCCTGCAGCAGAAGGCTGCTGACCGACGCGCTTTGTGCTTCCTCCTGCCCTTGCGGCGTTTGCTGTTGCTGCTGCTTGCCCTCCCGAGTTGCTGCTGCTGCTGCTGCTGCTGCTGCCGCCGCCACTGCTGCTGCTGCTGCTGCTGCTGCTGCAGGGTTTGGATGGGGAGCAGTCTCCAGTGCAGAAGAGACAGCAGAAATCCCTGTGTCCCTTGAGGAGACACTCAATTAAGTATCCCCATCGTGCTGCAGCAAAATAACGTAGCAGGAGGCCTGTCTCTGCTGCTGTCTTCTCACTCAGACGCAAAGGAGTCAGCAAGCACTGCTGCTCCAGATGATCCAGCAGCAGCCTACGGTGTACAGACAGCTGCTGCTGCAGCAGCAAAGCACCCCACGCCGTAGCAGCATAATTCCACCCCACAAGATTGCTGCAGCCATTAACAGGCAGCAGCGATGCATGCAGAGTTGCTGCTGCTCCTGATCCTGCTGCTGCTGCTGTTGTTGTTGCTGCTTCGCTGGCTGCTGCGCCTGCTGATGCTTCGTGCTCTTCCTCTTCTGCTGCTGCTGCTGCTGTTGCTGCAGCAGAAGCAGCAGCAGAGGCTACTGCGGGAGACAGCAGCAGCAAACCTCCCAGCTGCACCGTCTCCTTGCTACCCGTAGCAGCAGCACCTGCAGCAGCAAAGGCCTCAGGCGCTGCTGCTGCTCCTGCTGCTGCTGCTTTGCTGCTGCTGCACCCCACTGGCGAAGACAAGGATCTTGGTGAGGCAGCAGCAGATAACGCGGAGGGCCCTGAGCGGCTGCTGACACCCGCCCCAGGTGTACATGCAGGTGCTGCAGCAGCAGCAGCAGCAGAAGCAGCAGGTGCTGCTGCTGCTGCTGCTGCTGCTGCTGCTGCGGGTGGACCTGATTCCGGTGCTGCTGCAGGGGACGATAGGGCTGCCTCTGCTGCTCTGGGAGATGCCGCAGGCGATGCAGATACCTGCTGCTGCTGCTGCTGCTGCTGCTGCATCTGCTGCTCTACCGACATCCCCTTCTGCTGCTGCTGCTGCTGCTCGCTGCTCTCTGTTTGGCCGTCAGCAGCAAGGAGGTCCTTAACTGTCTTCATCCCCATAAAATCCACATACACCGCGGGACCCGTCCTGCTGCTGCTGCTGCTGCTGCTGCTGCTGTGAGAGCGGAAGGCAGCAACTCTTCGTTTAAGAAACGCTGCGGTGTATTTGCCCAGCAGTTCAACCCGCCCCACCTCCACCTCCCATGAATCCTCAGCAGCAGCAGCAGCAGCAGCAGCAGCAGCGGTGCCTGGTGCTGCTTCCGCTGCGTCTTCGCCAGCAACTCCGTCCTTCTGCTGCTGCTGCTGCTGCAGCAACAGCTGCTGCTGCTGCAGCTTGGCCTCGTCTTTGCGGAGCAGCGCGTCATATGTTGCTAATACTGCATGCAGCTCAGGAGACTCCTTTGTTGCTGCTGCTGCTGCTGCATACGCCGACAGCATCTGTCTTTCTTCAGCCACCCGTGCTGCTGCTGCTGCTGTTTCTGCTGCTGCTGCTGCTGTCCCTGCTGCTGCTGCCTTGCGGCGACGCACTGTCGCTGCTCCCTGAGATACACCCCAATCAAGCAGCACAACGAAGTTCTCCTCTTCTGCTGCAGGTTCTGCAGCAGCAGCTGCTGCTGCTGCTACAGGTGTTGCTGCTCCTGCTGCAGTTCCAGCTGCTGCTGCACTCTGCTGCTGCTCCTGCTGCTCCTGCTGTTGCTCTTCACCCTCCAGGCTCGGAGGTTGGCGGCGCCGTTTGCTGCTGCGAGCACCAGCAGCATCAGCAGGAGTCGAGCTGCTGCTGCTGCTGCTGCTGCTGCTGCTGCTGGGAGCTGCAGATACAGCCGGAAGCTTCCTCTTCCGCAGTTTTGTTGATTTTGCTGCTGATGGCGTTGCTGCGTCGGCGTCTCCTAGAGCCTCGTCTGCTGCTGTTGCTTCTGCTGCTGCTGCTGCTGATTCAGGTGCTGCTGCTGCTGCTGCCGAAGGTAGAGCAAGGGGAGACTGCATCGCAGCAGCAGCAGCACGAGAAGCTAATGAAGTCTCTATTGTCTCCAGCAGCCGCTGCATCTGCGGCGGCACCAGCAGCTCGACTTTGGAAGCAGCAGCAGGTGCTGCTGCTGTTGCTGCTGCTGCTGCTGCTGCTGCACCGCTAGACGTCCCACAGTAAGCAGCAGCAAGTCGCTGCAGCGCACGGCATTCTGCTGCAGGAGGAAGTGCTGCATGCAGCAGCAGCTGAATCCCTAGGGGTGCTGCTGTTGCTGCTGCGGCGTGTTGCTGCTGCGCTGCTGCAGCCCCAGGCAACTTCAAGATGGCGTTGCTGCTGCTGCTGCTGCTGCTGCTGCTGTCCCCACCGAGCAAGCGATAGTTTGGCGTTTTGCTTGCTGCTGCTGTTGCTGCTGCTGTTGCTGAAGGTGCAGCAGAGATGCCGCCGATGGGTGAGTTCAGCTGTACCTCTCCTGCTGCTGCTGCTGCTGCTGCTGCTGCTACACCTGCATCAGCCGGATCAGCAGCAGCAGCAGCAGCAGAGACTGAGATGGGTCGACGCTCCATAGGGTCGAGGAGAATTCTCTGCAGCAGTCTCGGTTCTGCTGCTGCTTTTGCTGCATCTGCTGCGGTGCCTATTTGCTGCTGCTGCTGCTGCTGCAGCTGCTGCGCATACACCCCAACTGCCAGCCTTCTAAATCTAGAATCATAGCGCGACCACTGAAGAGACAAACCCCGAACTGCTGCTGCATGCACATTAGTGTTTGCTGCTTCTCCGGCATCGGCAGCCTGTGCTGCTGCTGCTGCTGCTGCTGTTGCTGCTGCTGGCGTCGGAGATCCAGAATGCCCTGCTGCCGCTCCTGCTGCACCTGCTGCTGCTGCTGCTGCACCTGCTGCTGCTGCACCTTCTGCTGCTGCGGCACCTGCGGCGCCAGGCTTTATGGCGTTGCTGCCATCTGCATGTGTCGTAGCAGCTGCTGCAGCATCAGCAGCAGCAGCAGCAGCAGCAATCTTTGTTCTACTCGTTCCTTGGGGTGCTGCTGCTGTTATATCGAAGCTGCAGCCGGGAGCAGCAACTGCAGCAGTACCAGTTGCTGCTGCAGTTGCTGCTGCTGCTGCAGCAGGCGCAGCTACCAATGTATCAACAGTTGCTTCCTCTCTTTTTTCTGGAGGTTGCTGCTTTGCTGCTGCTGCTGCTCCTGCTGCTGCTGCAGCGCGAGCCCCGTGCGGCGGTTCATACAGTCGTTGTACTGCAGCATCAACAGCAGCAGCAACAGCATCTGCATGCGCATGCTGCGGGCAGAATAGCCCCCGCCAGACGAAAACTTGCTGTTGCTGCTGTTGCTGCTGTTGTTGTTGCTGCTGCTGCTGCTGCTGCTTTCGCTGATCCGCCCTGGAGTTGCTGCATATGGAATCTGTCTCGCTGCTGTTGCTGCTGCTGCTGCTACCGTCAGTACGGTTCTTCACGGCAGCAGGCAGCTGCATTGCCGCTTGCTGCTGCTGCTGCGGGTCCTGCTGCAGCGGCAGCAGCAGCCGCTGCTGCGCGCTTCCCCCCAGAGCAACAGCACAAGTTGCATGCAAATGCAGCGAACAACCAGGGTAGCTGCAAGGGGCTGGGTAGCCCCCGCTGCTGCTGTTGCTGCTGCTGCTGCTGCCGTTGCTGCTGCTGCTGTTGGAGGTCTGTGGGCCCCGTCCGCAAAGGCAGCAGCAGCTGCCGCTGCAGCAAGCCAGCAGCAGCGCTTCGTCGAGGGTTGGGGTGTATCTCCAGGTGCATGCAGCAGCAGAGGTTCCGTCAGCTGTAGCAGCTCGTGCTGCAGCACCACCTCCTTTTGCTGCTGCTGCTGCTGTTGCTGCTGCTGCTGCTGCTATATTAGAATACTGCATGCAGCCCCAATGCACCATACGCTCTAAACCCTTCTTCCCCCAGTGCTGCAGCAAACCCCCGCTGCTGCTGCAGAGCACACAACGTTGTGCTGCTCGTGAGGCAGCAAAATCCAGGCATTTGCTGCTGCTGCTGCTGCTGCTGCTGCTGTCCATGGAGGCAGCACATGCTGCTTTGCAGGCCTCGCATTGAAACGCCTTTGTTTCTGCAGCTGCTGTTGCTTCTGCTGCTGCTGTTGCTGCTGCTGCTGCTGTTGCTGCTGCTGCTGCAGCGGAAGGACTACTTGGGCGTTTCGGCGGAGTTGCAGAAGCCTCACTTCCCCCGGGTTCTGCTGCTGCTGCTGCTGTTGCTTCTGCTGCTGCTGCTGCTGCTGCTGCTGCTGCTGTCTGGTCAGACAGCCCAAGGCAGGCAGCATGTGCAGCAGCGCCGCAAGAGAAGCAGCGAATTAAATCTGCATCTTTTTCTCCTCTATCATCAGCAGCAGCAGCTGCTGCAGCATCAGAAGCATCAGCAGCAGCATCAGCAGCAGCGGCAGCAGCAGCAAGCGAGGGGCCCCTCTGAAAGCAAATGCAGCAGCAGTTGTTGAGTATTTGGTCTCTCAGGGAGAGATTGAGGTCAGAGGGAAGGACAGCACCCCACAGCAGGCCTTTCTGCTGCTGCTGCTGCTGCTGCGGCTGCTGCTGCTGCTGCTGCTGCTCTTTCTTCACGCTTCTGCTGGCTACGACCCCGAGGGCCCCCCTGCAGAGGGAAGAGCGTCCAGGCGCCGTCATTCGCCTCCATCAAACTAAGAAAATGCTGCTGCTGCTGCTGTTGCTGTTGCTGCTGCTGCTGCTGCTGCTGAAGGCGAGGAGAGCAGCTGCAGCAGCTGCAGCAGCTCTTCATGCTTTGTTACAGGAGCGACCGTCGCTGCTGCAGACGCGACTGCAGCACCAGCTGCAGCTGCAGCAGCAGCAGCAGCAGATGTACTGCAGCAGCAGCACCAACAACAGATCCGATGCTGCTGCTGCTGCTGCTGCTGTTTCTCCCGCTGCTGCTGCTGCTGCTGCAGAGGGGCCCCTCGGGTCCCCGCTCTGTTTCTGTTGCTGCTGCTCTTTAGGCTGTGCTGCGCAGCTGCATTTGCTGCGAGCTGCATAAAAAGAATAATTGAATTATATTATTAATTTAAACAAACATTAAAACAAACAAACAACAGATATAAACTCCATCTGCTGCTGCTCTGCTGCTGCTGGGGGCCCTCAGCCAACCAGGGGCCGCCGCCGCTGCATGCAGCAGCAGCAGCAACAGTAGCAGCAGCAGCAAATGAATATAATGCTGCATTTAGAAAATTGTTCTAATAGAATTATTAAAATGTTTTTTAAAGATAAAAGATATAAACAGAAACACACTCTCCACCAAGAGAGAGCGGGCTGCGCTTAAAGCTGCATGTACACCGCAGCAATGTATGAAGAGTTAAAAAAAAAAATAATATAGTAAACTCAGTAAAGAAATATATATATAAATATTTATTTATTTATTTATTTATCAATAAACATAATCAAAAGCAAGAGAAGTAATACAACAGATGCATAAAAGCACAGAGAGGCAAACAATAGCAGCAAAGCAATCGTGTCTCCTCCAAACCCTAAACCCTAAACCCTAAACCCTAAACCCTAATTGCTGTATCACTGGCTTTGTCTGTTTTCTTGCCGGTGTGTTTGTTTTAATGTATTTGTTTATTTATTTTTGTTTGTTTTCAGTACTCACTCCACCCCTCTTGTTTAGTCTCTCTGTTTTATTTATCTTATTCGTCTTCTTTTATTTATTTTATTTTTATGATTATTATATTTATCTTTTATTTATTTTATTTATTTTATTTGTTTTGTTTGTTTTTTTGCTCTTCTCGCTTTCTTTGTTTCCTCCGACCTGTCTGTTTTATTATTTTATTTGTTTTTTATTTGTTTTATTTTTTTAATTTTAGTTAAACGCTAGCTAGCTAGCTAGCTAGCTAGCTAGCTAGCTAGCTGTAATTGAGTGGAGACGCAGTATAGAGTGGGTTTCGTGCTGATATTGGTTAAGAAGAAAAGAGACAGAGAGCAGCACAAAGAAGAGACAATCAACAGACAGAGGCATAAACAGCAGCAGCAGCAGCAGCAGCAGCAGGAGTTGCTGCTGACGTTATGGCTTAAGAGACTCTCGCCCACATGCATGCAAGAAACGCATCACTAGCTAGCTGGCTAGCTAAGCAGCTAGCTACTCCAACAACTAGCTAGCTAGCTAGGTATATTAACAGCTAGCTAGCTAGCTAGCTGTTAATATACTGCTGCGAGAACGCCGCCTGCTGCATGCATAGAAGAATTTCTGTATGTTTATTTGCATGCATGCAAATAAACGCATGCATAAATGCATGCAAATAAACATACATAGATGCATGCACGCAAATAGACGCATGCATGCATGCAAATAGATGTGCATGCATGCAAATAAACATGCATGCATGCATGCAAGTAAACATCTATTCACGCATGCATGCAAATAAGCATGCATGCAAATAGACGCATGCATGCATGCATGCATGCATGCATGCATGCATGTTTATTTGCATGCATGCATGCATAGACGGAGATGATGGTTGTGTATTACACTCCGCTGGTTTTAATTGCAGCCTGAGCAAAAAAATAAAAATAAATAATATGAAATTTATTTATTTATTTATTTATTTTATTTATTTATCTAATTAATTAACAAATTAATGGACAGGTAAATGCATTAAAACAAAAAATATTTACATAGAAAAACAAACAAAACAAACAAAACGATAAAACCAGCAGCAGCAAAAATCAGCTTCAGCAGCACTGCATGCAAGCAGCAGCAGCAGCAACCAAAACATCGCCAGCAGCAGCAGAAACAGCAGCAGCAGAAACAGCAGCAACATATAAGCAGCAGCAGCATAACAGCAGCATCAGAAACTCCAGCAGCAACATCAGCAGCTCCAGCAGCAACATCAGCAGCCCCAGCAGCAACAGCAACAGCAACAGCAACAGCAACAGCAACAGAAGCATTGCATGCATGCTTTCTCTTTTCTATGCATGCATGCATGCATGCATGCATGCATGCATAGAAAAGAGAAAGCCCCACCTTCTGAGCGACAATTCTGGGGCCCGACTCATCCCACTCTCCTTTTGTTATCCAGAGATGATCCTGAAGAAATAAAACAAAACTAAATCAAATGCATGCATGCACGCATCTCTTCTATACAGCAACAGCAGCAACAGCAGCACCACCATCACCAATGACAGCAGCAGCAGCAGCAACAGACGCCACCCCAACAGCATCAGCAGCTAAAGCAATACAAGCAGCAGCAACACCAACAGCAGCAGCAACAACACCAACAGCAGCAGCAGCAACAGCAGCAGCAACAGCACCAGCAGCAGCAGCAGCAGCAGCAGCAACACCGCCACCACCACCACCACCAGGAGCAGCAGCAGCAGCAGCAGCATCAGCAGGAGCAGCAGCATCAGCAGGAGCAGGAGCAGCAGCAGCAGCATCAGCATCAGCAGGAGCAGCAGCATCAGCAGGAGCAGGAGCAGCAGCATCAGCATCAGCAGCAGCAGCAAGTAGATTACCTGCATTGGTCTGAGTTGCGGTTGCGCGAATACCTGCGCTCCGCGCCAAACTAAAAATTGACGGTCAGGCGGAGCACCGACATCAACAATAGAACGAGCTTGAGGAGGAGAAGTGTTTTTTAATTCTAATGCTAGCCTATTAAATAAATAAATAAATAAATAAATAAATAAATAAATAAATAAATAAATAATAATATGCAATGTGTAATTTATAATTAATATGTCAATACATTAATCCGGTTCATGGTCGAGGGTTTTGGGTTTTGGATGATTCAGTTTTTAGGGTTTAGGGTTTAGGGTTTAGGGTTTAGGGTTTAGGGTTTACCGTTCAGGGAATCCGGGGAAGAGCGTCGAGCCTCCGCACAGAATTACGTTTGCTACTAAACTCTTTCTATTCTCAATTGGACATGCCTTTATAAATGCAGCAACAAATGCAGCAAATGCAGCAGCAGCAAATGCAGCAGCAGCAAACGCAGCAAATGCAGCAGCAGCAAATGCAGCAGCAGCAAATGCAGCAGCAGCAAAAGCAGCAAATGCAGCAAATGCAGCAGCAAACGTCTCTTCTGCTTTTTCGTTTGGTGGTGTACACTGGGCGTAGCAGATGCAGCTCTTAATATTTAGGGTTTAGGGTTTATGGTTTAGGGTTTAGGGTTTAGGGTTTATCTTACTCGCACAGAAGACCAAACAAGATCGGTGAGTGAAGGATTGTCTCTGCCGCAGAGTTGAGGATTGAAGAGGGCCTCAGCAGGGTAAAACCTCTCGGGTCCGAGTGTAATCTCTCTGAACAAACAAAACAAATTAAATTAAATTAAATTAAATTAGTTAAAATGAAACAAATAAACGCAAATGCATGCAAACAATGCACTAAAATGCCTCTCAAAAGAAAACAGGAAGCAAACGGCACCCACAGATTACAAACAGACACAAAAAACACAAACCCTAGGGTTTAGGGTTTAGGGTTTAGGGTTTAGGTACGTGGTTTCGCCATCTCGGAGTGTGAGGCCATCAGGCAACCGATATGTTCGCTCCAAGTCTGTCCTCTGCTGATCCGCTGTGCATACACCGCAGGGTTTAGGGTTTAGGGTTTAGCGCTTGTTGTCTAGGGTTTAGGGTTTAGGGTTTAGGGTTTAGAGGTCGGCTGGGATGCCGTTTAGGGTTTAAGCGAGGGGGGGCGTTGCATACGAACAGCCGCAGCGGGAAGGGCCTTCAGTACCTAGGGTTTAGCGTTTAGGGTTTAGGGTTTAGGGTTTAGGGTTTAGGGTTTACGTACAGGCTGGGTCTAGAGAGCAGAAGCAAAGGGTTTCTTTAATTACTCGTACATGCTCCTGAACAAAAATAAACCCTTTATAAATAGACAAAGTGAGGGTTTAGGGTTTAGGGTTTAGGGTTTGTTAGTGCATCTTCTTTGTAACGCGTTGCAAGCCCTGTTCTACCGGCCGTTTCTTTTCGCTCTAGCCTCAGAGGCGAAGACATTAGGGTTTAGGGTTTAGGGTTTAGGGTTTAGGGTTTAGGGTTTAGGGTTTAGGGTTTAGGGTTTGAGGGTTTAGGGTTTAGGGTTTAGGGTTTAGGGTTTAGGGTTTAGGGTTTAGGGTTTAGGGTTTGGATCGTACATAGTCATCGCGCGTCGTCATTTGATAGCCCATATCGCATAAAATTTTTTGCAAATACATTTGCAGTTCTTCGCCTCCAAAATCACTTCTTTTTAATGAAGAAGCCTCCAAATACCCTAAACCACAAACCCTAAACCCTAAACCCTAAACCCTAAACCCTAAACCCTAAACCCTAAACCGTGAAGGGGGAGGCTTGCGCCTCCAAGGCTAAAGCAAAACGAAACGAGCGATTTAACAAGGCATGCAATACGTCCTTAAGTAGATGAACTACTTAATTGCATACAACAAACCCTAAACCCTAAACCCTAAACCCTAAACCCTAAACCCCTACTCACCATCGAACACAGGAACGCACTGCGTGACGCCCTCTCCGATGTCTACCACCAACCCAGTAGTCTTCCCTGTGCTGCATCAACAAACAATAAACCCTAAACCCTAAACCCTAAACCCTAAACCCTGAACGCCAAGCCCCAAACCCTACCCCTGAACCGCTAACCCGCAGAAACCCTAAACCCTCGACGGTAAGCTGTAAACCCTAGAATGATAATAGATTAGGGTTTAGGGTTTATACACACCCGTAGATAGCCATTAAGCCTGTAACACTGAGACAAACTTCAGGAGCATTAAAACCCTCAAGAAACGTCTCTGCTAATTTCTCTCGATGTTTATATGAACAGTTAGGAGGCTCAGTTAATAAAGCCGGGTGTACAGACACATCAAGCTGCAGCGAGTCATAGACGTGCTGCCATACATACGCCATCTACGCAAACCGCAAACCACAAACCCTAAACCCTAAACCCTAAACCCTAAACCCTAAACCCTAAACCCTAAACCCTTTTTTTATGCGGTGGACTTGTAAACCCTTACAATACATGTTTTTATAGTCCACACAACAACAAACTTCATCCGCTTGGAAGTGCAAACAAATAATACAAACACAAACCCTTCAAAACCCTAAACCCTAAACCCTAATCGAGAAGAAACCTTAAACCCTAGTCCCGCAGAAACCCTAAACAATCAAAAACCCTAGACCCTCTATGCCCTGGCTGCTTGTGTATGTGGGTGCGATTTGTTTTCTTTCGGGTTTACGAAGGCTTATTAGGGTTTAGGGTTTAGGGTTTAGGGTTTATGAATCTGTTCTTATTCATCAATATATCGATAGGGTTTGTAATAGTAAGGTGATGTCTGCTGTGTATATTAGGGTTTATAAGGGTTTCTACTGGAATATGAGGATTGAGGGTTTAGGGTTTAGACAGTAGGAATTAGGGTTTAGGGTTTAGGGTTTAGGGTTTAGGAACCTGTTCCCAGTCATCAATATGGCCGTGATCAATAGGGTTTGTTATAGTAAGCTGATGTCTGTTCTCAATTGCACTTAACCCTATAAATATTTGTTCTTCTTTGGGTTTATTTTTAAACACATCAAAAAATCGGCGACGCGGAAATCCGACGACCGACGGAAAAAAAACAGACGGCGAATTTTCTGCATTTGTTCCTCCTTTAATATACCCTGAACATTAAAAATAAATCAATTAATATAAATTAATATAAATTAATATATATATATATTAATTTATTTGTTTGTTTGTTTAGTTGTTTTTGTTTGTTTGCTTGGGGTTTATCTTGATGTGTTTATTAAGCTATTAATGCACTAATTATGATGTATATATATATATATATGTATATATATATATATAATAATTAATATATTAATTTATATAGATATATTTATTATACATATAGATAGAAATATATATATGTATAGACATAAATGTAAAAATTTTATATATATATATATATATATATATTTAGATATGAATATAAATATACATGCATATATATATATATATACATTTATATATATATATATATATTTATATTTATATTTATATGCATATATATATATATGTATAAAGACATTAATATATATGTAAATATAAATAGTTTTAATTGCTTTACTTAAGTGCATGCATTAATGAAGTAAACAATTAAAAATAAATAAATAAATAAAGTATAAACAAACAAATCAAAGACAACAAACAAACGCAAAGAAACAAACGACTGTTGCATGCGCTCAATAAAAAAATAAATAAAATAAAAAACAAACAAATAAAATAATAAATAATAATATAAATAAACAAAAGCACAAAACGCATGCAGACAAACAAAGAACGAAAGATGCAATCAAAAAGCAAACAAACAGATTGAGATAATAAACAAACAAACACAAACAAACAACACCTAAACCCTAAACCCTAAACCCTAAACCCTCGAAGGAAACTAAACCCTAAATAAAGGACTAACACAGCCAAAGCAAACAAACAACAAAAACCCAAATGCAGACTCTGAATGAAACAAATAACTGCTGCCATAAGGAGAAGACGCTCTAGCATAAACCCTAAACCCTAAACCCTAAACCCTAAACCCTAATCCTGCTGTGTACATGCATCAGCAGCTTCTACCTTCACTTCTTGCACCTAACAACAATAAGCATGTGGCCCTTGCGGACCGCTGTTTGAAGTATGAAGGTGCGGCCTCATAGGACAGCATAAACCCTAAACCCTAAACCCTAAACCCTAAACCGTAAAACCTAAACCCTATACCCTAGAAGGATGCTAAGAAGCGGGAACGTAAAGACAAACCTGAGCCGTTATCTATAATGACCGTAGGGACCTCCATCTTGGCCACGAAGTACGGTTTAGGGTTTAGGGTTTAGGGATTAGGGTTTAGGGTTTAGGGTTTAGGGTTTCGAGGTCGGCGAGCGGTAGCACATGGCGTTAAAGACCCCCTCTTCCCTGGTAGTTTATAATAAGCGTTGAGTGTTTGTTGTTTATAAATAAATAAATAAATAAATAGACGGGAAAAAGAACAAAACAAACAAAAAACTGAAGATTCCGCGGCTACCACTTTGAGGTGTACGTACACCTCAACAGCAGCAGCAGCAATAATAAATAGCAGCAATAATAACTATTATAAATCTTTTCCTTTTTCTTTATTCTTTTTTCAATTTCAATTCAACTTTTATTTTATTTCATTTATCTCCCTATACACCCCACGCACACACAACCACAGCCCCAGCAAAGGGTCTTCTTTTTGCTGCAGCAGCAGCAGCAGCAGCTGCTGCTGCTGCTTCTACTCGTTGCTGTTGCTGCTGCTGCTGTTGTTGTTTATTGTTATTTAGAGTTTAATTAAGTTGTGTTTATTTGGATTCTCCCTCTGCAGCAAAGCCAAGCAGCAGCGAGAAGAAGAAGAGAGGCAGCAGCAGCAGCAGCTGCTGCTGCTGCTCTTAACTGTTTGCTGCTGCAGCAAGGGCAAACAAGCAGCAACAGCAGCATTCAATTGAGGGTTTATGGTTTAGTCAATTCAGGGTTTAGGGTTTGAGTTCGCTTCAGTAAGGAGTAGCAAGGGTTTAGGGTTTAGCTGTCTGTCCACCCTAACGCAATAAGCTGACTTACCTCTTACCTTAAATATATGTACATAATATATAATATATATTACTTAACACAACGCGTGCGCTCAGGTTGCTTAGCTAGCTAGCTAGCTAGCTAACTAGCTAACTAGCTAGCTAGAGGACGGGCTCCAACAAACCCTTAACCCTAAACCCTAAAATCGCTGCTAGCTAGCCAGCTAGCTAGCTAGCCAGCTAAGCAGATAGGTAGACAAGTAGCTAGCTGGGCGAGACGGCGTAAGGTCTAGGGTATGGCAGCAACAGCAGAAGCAGAAAGCTGCTGCTGCTGCTGCTGCAACAGCGGTTTGGGCCTCAACAAGCCCTAAACCCTAAACCCTAAACCGTACACCCTAAAGTTCCTGCTAGCCAGCTCGAGGGAGTGTTTCTGCTGCTGCAGCAGCAAGAGTTTGCTGCTGCAGCAGACGCTGCTGCTGCAGCAGCAGCTGTAGGCTCCTCACGAGCAGGCAGCTAGCTGCGCTAGCCAGCGACCAGCTAGCTAGCTAGCTAGATAGCTAGCAGTGCCCCACGAGACATCTGTAGAGGGAGCCTAGAGAGAGGACTTCAGCCGGCTGTCTACCCTGACCCTTTGCTGCTGCTGCTGCTGCCGCTGTTGCTGTTGGTGCTGCTGCTGCTGCTGTTGGTGCTGCTGCTGCTGCAGTTGCTGGTATAGTTGTTGTTGCTACTAATGCTGCTGTTGCTGCTGCTGTTGCTGCAAGGGCAATAACAGCTCTCCCGTGGTCTAGCTAGCTGCCTAGGTATAGCTAGCTAGCTAGCTAGCTAGCTAGCTAGCTATATGGTGCATACAGCTTAGTCTGGCTTGTGTTGATTGAAAAGGCTTTCAAATAAGGGGTGATAAACACTGCGAAACGCGACACTAAGGGCTTAGGGTTTAGGGTTTAGGGTTTAGGGTTTAGGGTGTGAGGTTTAGGGGGTCGGCGCTGTGTTGCTGCTGCTCCCGAATGAACTCCTCCAGCGATATTGAGATCGCTCGCTGCAAAATTTCGTCTTCCTGCACGCCAAACCCTAAACCCTAAACCCTAAACCCTAAACCCTAAGGAAGTCATGACACCCCGTGTGAGGTACGTTGAGTGTTTGCAACTAGAGATGAAAAGTTTAGGGTTGAGTGTTTAGGGTTTAGGGTTTAGATTTGAGGGTTTAGGTATTAGGGTTTACACTTGATGTTTTAGGGTTTAGGGTTTAGAACTAAGGGTTTCGTATTTAAAAGTAGAGTGTTTTAGGGTTTAGAGCGACGGTTTAGGGTTTAGAGTCACAGTTTAGGGTTTAGGGTTTAGGGTTTAGGGTTTAGGGTTTAGGGTTTAGGGTTTAGGGTTTGTGAGCCTCACGTCTTCAATAAAAGTTGCAGGTTCAATTCCCCCCTGATGTTTAAAAAAACGAAAGGAAGGCTCAGGGGGAGCCATACCCCTTACTACATCGGTAGGTGCTGCTGCTGCTGCTGCTGCTGCTGCTGCTGCTGCTGCTGCTGCTGCTGCATCGTTTGTTGCTGCTGCTGCTATGGGCATATCTTCACAGCTGCAAGTGCCGCTTCGGTCTTGCTGCGCCTCTGTTTGGATGCTGCTGCTGCTGCTGCTGCTGTCTTTCTTGCTGCTGCTGCTGCCAGCAGCAGCAGCAGATTTCCCCGTCCCCCACCGCAGCAGACTACGCGACAGCAGCGACCTCATGTTGCTGGAAGCAGCAGCATGTGCCTCATTGCTGCTGCTGCTGCTGTTGCTGCTTCTGTTGCTGCTGCTGCTAAGCCAAGAGCGCCTTCTGCTGCTGTGGCAGTTTCCAGGCTTTGCTGCTGCACACATACAAAACCATTCCCTAAACCCTAAACCCTGAACCCTAAACCCTAAACCCTAAACCCTTAGCGCACCACGAAACAAATAGGAATTGAAGTAGGCGGCTACTAAGCAAGCTGCTGCTCACCTGCAGAGCCCAACAAACCCGCATTTGCATCCGGCTGCTGCTGTTGTTGCTGCTGCTGCTGCTGCTGAGGCTGTTCTTTAGGCCCAGCGTCTGTCCACTGGGGGACAGCAGCAGCAGTAGCAGCAGTTTGTGCTGCTGGTGAAGCATCACGACAAACCGCAGCAGCAGGAGGTGAAGTGGCGGCAGCGCTTGCAGCAACAGCAGCAGCAGCAGCTGCTGCTGCTGCTGCTGCTGCAGCAGCAGCAGCAGGCCCAGGACATTCTTCCTCAAAGGGGTGTATAGGCACCACCAAGTCGTCACTAGGGATGCTGTCTGAGTTGCTGCAGCAGCTGCTGCTGCTGCTGTTGCTGCTGCTGCAGCCTTGGGGGTTTTCTTGTCTGTCTCTTTGCTGGACACGCCCTCTGTGCGGCTCTCTGCTGCTAAAGGTAGAAGGGTTAAGTGTATTTCTAAAGAAAATCGCCGCAGAGTGCAGCATAAAGGCAGGCCTAGGAGAATTATGCCCCCCTTCCACCTAAACCACAAACCCTAAACCCTAAACCCTAAACCCTAAACCACAAACCCTAAACCCTAAACCCTAAACCACAAACCCTAAACCCTAAACCACAAACCCTAAACCACAAATCACAAACCCTAGTCGCTACACCCCCCACAAACCCTAAATACTAAACCCTCTACAAGCCCTACACCTTAAACACTACACTTAACCGAAACCCTAAACCCTAAACCCTAAACCACAAACCGTAAACCCTAATCCTGCGTTGAGCCCTATGCTGTACAGCCCAAACCCTTGTCGTAAACCCTATTCATAAACCCTAGTCTAAACCCTAATCTAAACCCTAAGCCCTGAACCGCAATTAAAAACACTCGTCATAAACCCCAGCCTAAACCCTAAACCCTGAAATAATAAACCCTCGCCATAAACCCCACTCACAAACCCTAATCATAAACTCTGAAGAGCATAAACCCTAATCTAAACCCTAGCTAAAACCCTAAACCCTAGCTAAAACCCTAAACCCTCAACTCGCCTCAATAAGGTTCTTGTCGCCGCCATATGCAGCATGCAGATCCTTCACATGCTGCGGAGAAATAAAAGTGTCCTCGCGCCCGTACACAAACAGCGCTGCGCACAAACCCTAAACCCTAAACCCTAAACCCTAAACCCTAATCCACAAACCCTAAACCCTAAACCCGAAATGCTGTGCCAGCAATAAGAAAAGCTGCCCTTCGCCCGTGAGCTTTATTAAACCACTTCCCCCCCATCCCTAAACCCTAAACAAACCCTAAACCCTAAACCACAAACAAACCCTAAACCTTAAAGCGCAAACAACCCCTACACCCTAAACCACAAATAAACCCTAGACCCTAAACAAACCCTAGATCCTAAACAAACCCTGAACCCTGAACAAACCCTAAACCCTAAACCCTAAAACAAACCCTAAACCCTAAACCCTAAACCCTAAACCCTAAACCCTCAACCCTACCTGGAATAAAGGCTTCGGGCACGCAGTCGATTGGGGCGATAAGGTTAATATCGAAGTGCGCTTTGCTGGTGATAGAGCTTCGAACCTGAGGCAGCAAAGCAGACACAAAGTGTCTCCTTCTGTCTCCGTCTCCTTTTGTTTTACTCTTCTTTCTTTCTTAATCTACTTTTGTCTCTGTCTCTGTTTATATCTCTGTCTTTGTCTGTCTCTGTCTGTCTGTCTCTGTCTGTCTGTCTCTGTCTGTCTGTCTCTGCACGTTTTTATCTATTTATCTTCGTTTTTAGCTGTCTCCTTTTGTCTTTGTCTGTCTTTTGCTGTCTCTTCTCTTTCTGTTTTTTCTTGTCTCTCTATCTCTTTGTTTCTAAACTCTGGTGCTTATGCTGCTGCTGCTGCTGCGATTGCTGCTGCTTTTGCTGCTGCTGATACAATTGCTGCCTCTACCAGCACCAGCAGCAACAGCAGCATCAACGGCAGCAGCAGCATCAGCAGCAGCACCACCACCACCACCACCACCAGCATCAGCATCAGCACCAGCAGCAGCAGCAGCAACACCAGCTGCACGAGCAGCAGCAGAAGCAGCAACAACAACAACACCAGCAGCACGAGCACCAGCAGCAGCAGCAGCAGCAGCAACACCAGCAGCAGCAGGAGCAGGAGTGAAGTAATAGACTAGAGGTGTATGCTGACTAAGGAGAGAAGAATAGAGAGAACAAATTTGGGGATAGTAAATTGCAGCACAGAGTCAGCTAACTCCTCAGCCAATCGACGCAGTGCAGCAAATGGTGAGTCCAAGACCTAAACAAATACAGAAAAAAGAAGAAAGTTAAAGTTAAAGTAATTCACAGATTATTTTATATTCAACTGTATATGCAAATGTATATGCAAATATACATATAAACATTCAAATCCATTATTAAGCAAATACAACACCTAAACAAATACAGAAAAAAGAAGAAAAAACAATCAAAAACAACCCACAGTGTATGTACACCCCACACTGTATGTACACCCCACAGTGTATGGACACCCCACAGTGTATGGACACCCCACAGTGTATATACACCACCCCACAGTGTATATACACCACCCCACAGTGTTTGTACTGTGCATTTGCACTCTGCTGAGCGAATCTGCATCTCCATTGTACATACACCCCAAGACGGGGTGTTGAAGTGTATAGACACCGTTGTGGGGTGTACATACACCACGCCGACATATATATATATATATATGCATGCACATACATGCATGTAAATAGATATAAAGATTTATACACGTATACATATATAAACTTAACAATGCCTCCAATAGAAGGCTCTCTATGTGCATGCATCAGCGCAGTGAGATATATATAGATAAATATATATATATATATATATATATAGATATAGAGATATATAGATATATATATATATAGGCATATAGATATATATATATATATATATATACACTTACAATGCCTCCAATAGAAGGATCTCTGTGTGCATGCATCAGCGCAGCGACATATATATAGATATATACATATAGATATACATACAGACATATAGATATATAGATATATATATATATATATACTTACAATGCCTCCAATAGAAGGATCTCTGTGTGCATGCATCAGCGCAGTGACGGCGCCCATACTTCGGCCCCACAGCCCCACAGCGGAGACCCGGCCGGAAGAGCGTAGAAACTCTACAACTACATCTACATCATCTCTCTCCCACCAGCCTAAATGCATGCAATAAGCGCTTCATTGTAATTAAATAAATAATCTATATACATCCTCTTATACTCTGTTTAAATACCTTCATTTTAATGTATGATAACCCTTATTTTTATTATTTATACAATGTATTAAAACCCTTCTTATTTGTTATTTATTTATTTAAACAAATAAACAATAAATATAAACATCCTTGATTATATTATATCTATTTGTAGATTTATATAAACCATTACTTTAATTATATCAACAATAAATATAAACCCTCTCTATATTGTGTATATATGTAGATGTATGTAAACCCTAAGTTTAATTATATTATAAACACTAAATATAAACCCTTCTTATGTTGTTTACTTGCAGATGTATTTAAACCCTAATTATAATTATTAATATACTAAACATAAACCCTCGTACTAATTAACTAATCGCTGAATTATTAACCCTCTCTATCCATTTATATATATGCATATATATATATATATATGCATTTATATATATATAGATAGATATATATGTATGTATATATATATAAATTATTATGAGGAGAATAACAATATATATAAACCCTAAATAGAAAGTGGAATGACGGTGCAGTAAACCCTAAACCCTAAACCCTAATCTGAATAACACTAAAGAAAACCCTAGGCATAAACCTAAATCTAAATGTCGATAAGCGTAAACCCCTACTAAACCCTTAACCCTACACAACCCTAAACCCTAAACCCTAAACCCTAAACCCTAAACCCTTACCCAGGGAGATGTATGGACCGTCTGATCTGCCGCTACCTGAGAAGTCGAAGGCAAAGACGCTGATATTCTGCGGCAGCAGCACGGGTAGCGCGGACACTGCGCATACACCCCAACACCACAACCCTAAACCCTAAACCCTAAACCCTAAACCTTAAAATTCAAACCCCTGAACCCTAGGCACAACACAACGACCAACTACTAAAGCCGCAACACAGCAGGCAGTACATCCACAGAGCGCAGAAATCTGAAGAGCTAGCGCCTGAGGGTTTAGAGTCCGTGCTTTAGGATTTAGGGTTTAGGGTTTAGGGTTGGAGACACACTGGCTTCAAGACGAGAAGAACAATTGCCGTGCAAGTATACGACGCAGGGTAGTTTCTTGTCCTTGCCTCCCCTAGAAGCGGGCAGAACCCAACCCTAAACCCTAAACCCTAAACCCTTAACCCTAAACCCTAAACCCTAAACCCTAAACCCTAAACCCTTGGCTTACGGGAAGACAGGTTCATAGTGACTGCACTGAAGGCGCATATCTCTCCTGTTGATTAATTCAAAGTCTGAAGACAGCACCAGAGAAGCCAATCGATATAAAACCCCCCACTCACTGGTCTTAGGGTTTAGGGTTTAGGGTGTAGGGTTTAGGGTTTAGGGTTTAGGGTTTAGTACCTGTGCGCTTGTACTGCCTCCCCGCCATCGTAAACAATCGAGGCCCCAACTCCTCGTCCGTGTAAATGTCGCGGGGAGGTCTGATGATGAAATTAACCAACTCGCCATACTGCTCAGACACCTAAGGCCGCAAAACCCTAAACCCTAAACCCTAAACCCTAAACCCTAAACCCTAAACCCTAAACGAAAATGCACAGCGTGCACACCCCCCCCTCCCCATTCCTCACTGTAAAATCCAACGCCCACCTTTGAAAAAATCGCCGCCATTCTCCCCTAGATATCGGGGGTCCAGAACTTAAAAAAACAAAACCCTAAACCCTAAACCCTAAACCCTAAACCCTCAACCCTCAACCAGAGGCAACCTTCTGTGCGGCGCCCCTTGAAGCTCCAGCACGGAAAGCCGGGCAGAAAACGGGGGCAGGTTCAACTGGATGAGGGCCCTGTCAAAGTGCATGCATGCATGCATGCATGCATGCATGCATTTACTTGTTATGTTGGGGTATTGCATGCATGCATGCATGCATGCATTGGGGGTCTATTTGGGAGAAATTGTATGCTGTGCAGTCCACAAGAAGAGCGGTGGCTGTCCTGGGTATCTCCCGGTGTACATACACCCGAAGAACGGCTCCTCTGTGTCACAGGAGAGGCTTTAATATGTGTTTTTCTCCTGTGTTTATTTCTCTCAATGTTGGGCACCGTAGCAGCACTCCAGGGCGTTTACAGCTCAGGGAGTGGTGTCGTAGTATAAAAGGAGTTAATTGCAGTTTTTAAAAGTGCGTATGGACAGAAAAAACGACAAAAAAACGAGAAAAAAAACAAAAGAAGAAGATGAATTGCTGAGGTGTATGTACACCTCAAGAGGTGCCCGAAGACGAGACCAGTGGGCTTGGGTGTATATTCCAGGTGTTTTTGGTGCTAAAAGATTCGTTTTCTTTGTTTTTTTATTTGTTTATTTGTTTGTTTCCACTTAATTGATGCACTTTCCCAAAAAAACCAGGTTTTTGGTGCTGCATGCGCTGCAGCAGCAGACTAGGAAGCTGCTGAAGCGCTTAGCTACCGGCCGACTCGCTGCAGATGTTTTTCTTCTTCTTCTTCTTTCTCCGCATATCGTCTTCTTCTTTTGTAAATATTATTTAAATGAATATTTTATTCATGGAAATGCTAACATAAGTATACATCTGCATATAAATATATATAAATATCGATATGTTTCTCCCGCTCACAAGGGCTGCCTGAGGCTGTAGGGCTCTGGGTTATGTTTGCTGTAAAGAAGAAGAAAGTATGTAGATGAATTGAATACAATTAAACGGTGTAACAGCAAAGTAAAATAGAGATTGAATATTATATATATACATATATATAATAATATATTCATAGTTGAGGTGCGGGGTAAAGAAGCATGAGCCTTCTATTACCAACTTCTATATACTAACAGAGTGCTCGACTGTTCTTTTTAAAGGGCTGACGATATTTCTGAGTTTATTTGCATGCAGTTTGTCTACTGAGGGAGAATAAAGCGCTTCTTAACGGCTCCATACGGTGTCCGTGCATGCAACAGAACGGGCTTTATTGTCTTTGCATGCATGCGCCGCCTCCTTGTAGTGTTGTAGCAGCAGCTACACCAATGTATGCAGCAACCCATCAAAACCCTCCTCCTCTCCGCATTAACTCCATATTCTTATGTTTCCTTCCCAAGGAGGCCTGGGGATTGAAGTGGCGGTGAAAGCTGCTGTAAAGGGAGACCTTAATCGCATGCAGTTTGATTTTATTGTAGCTTATGACGGTTTTATGCTAAAATCTATGAATCAGATTATATCTATTAGCACCGCTGCATGGGTAAGAGAGGCTACAGACAGTGTTCAAACCCTTTTAAGATACCCGGCTGTATGTACAAACTGCTGTTGTTGGTTGGGCTCTTCTAAAGCAGTTTCTCAGCTCTCCTCTTGCCTGTACTCGGCTTTCAGTGGGCGTTAGACTTCTCCCTGAAAGAGTTTTTCTTTATGTTTTACTGCGAGGTAATAATGTAATTCTTTCTTCAACTCTACCCACTTCTGCTGCTGCTCGTCCGGTGTTAACGAGATTAAAAGCCCCAAGACTACGCTCTTCTCTAGATCATCACGACAGAGTGCATGCATATCTCCGACGTCTCCTGCAGCAAATCTGCTGTGTCTTCAATCCCACATTCCCCTCTTCTCTTTGGGCGCTGAATCCGCTCTTTCTGTAACAAGCGGTGTGAACACCCTTTGGCGGGGGTTAAGAGACGTATTTCATTATACGCAGATATGATGTATAATATACATATCTCTATGCTTCCTAGCACATACACCCCAGTGCTGTCTTCTATATACAACGTAGGAGCCCCGTATCATGGTAATAAAGATCTCACTGGATTTACAGCAGAGCTTTACAGATCTTCATGCTCTATCTACCATCGGCGTATATATATATATATATATATAGTCGCAGAGGCCGAGACAATGAATAAACAGACTGAGATGCTGCATATCTTCTCGCTGTAGCTTCAGACATCAGATTCACTTTTCAGGATATGTTTAATAAAGCAAGCATCACTTGTCGTTTATTATTAATCCCCAGGTGTTGTTTGCTTTACTTGGGCTTTGTTTGCACAAAGTTGTTTCGAGACAAGCCTGCTGCAGATAAGACTCACATCTCTTTTAGCCCTGACACTGCGACGTACGCTGCATGTAGATAAAAAAACATATTTTGTTGTTTTTCCTTGTTGCCTCCGCTTTGTAGCCCCTTCAGCGCACCAGCACATATACAGATTTTTTTTCTTTGTTTTGAACAATACAGTTCTGCTCCGACTCCACCGGACTTCTTCTGTCCTCCAAGCGATGATATTTTCCAAGGTAGATAAAAACCTATCAAATGCTTTTCTTTCTTCTCATTTGTTTATTCTGAAGTACCTTGACGTACTGGGGATGAAACAGCGGCAACGCATCGGAAGTCGTACAGCTTTTTAAGCGGGGGTTGCAACAAAAGAGTGATATGCTTTTTAAGTTTGATGTAGTTGCGGCTGTCTTGGATTCTCTTGTGGCAGTAGCAGCTGGAGCTCTTCGAGTGTATTGTGCGAAGACAAACGCTCTTATATAAATAATAATATTTAGTATATAATTTATACTTTAGAATTATTTTATTGAGAATTCCTCCAGCTCCTCGCATCATGACGCGTTTTAGTAAATTATTTTTGCAATAAAGATATTTTGTTTATTATTATTGTGAATATTCTCAGGTTAATGCATTTGTCTCAATGCGGTGTATCGGCTGGTCTTCGATATCTTCCGGCTGTTAGGGAGACCCAGAGCAGCATTTACTAATAGAAGAACGAATAGGCTAAATCTTTTTTCAAATACTGCGAGGAGAATCTTTCATTTGTTTTCTTTTTCTACTAATAAACCGAATAATAATAATTGTAATTCCCCTACAAGGAGTTAGCCTTTATAACAAAACACCTGAGTGTTCAGGACGTCATCTTCTTTTAATCATAAGTTTGTCTTGAGGTAGAAAAAAACGTCAAAAGTACTAAGATCAGAGTTTTTCAAAACAGTTGGCTTCTTCTTCAGTATATTAGACTCCTGGAAGCAGCCTCAGGGGATCCTGAGTTTGATAAACTGTATCTCTGCTGCTGCTGCTGAAGGCAGCCAGGCGGTAAAAGAACTCATAGCTTGGGGCGGTTGGCCAGCTGGTGCTGCAAAAGTAAATCGTAGAAGAGAATATAGTTTTTCATGAGTTGTTTTAGCCTTTGTTGCAGCTCCTATTGCAAGTTAACAGCCCCATCCGCGAATATTTGACTAAATGCGCATTCCTCTAGCTGCATGCACCAACGCTGGAGACACTCTTTAAACAATTCCTTATCCACAGTAAACAGTCTGTAGCAAAAGTAAAGTGCTTGGACTCAATTACAGTGCATGCATGCGCATGCACGCAACAACGCATACCCTCTGCACCTCCATCAACCTGTTCTTCGGAGAACCGGAGACATTGAGATAGGTTGTTTGGTTTGATGTTTCTGTTTTAAAACAGAAGTAGATAGCAAATGAAGATGCCTTGAGTACCTAGTATTTACAAAAACAAAAATACTTAATGTTTGCTTCTCTTGTTTTTCTACTATAGACTGTCTTCACGCTGGGCACGACGGCAAGCAAGAGTTAGGGCGGTTGTGCAGCAACAGGTGCTTCTGCGTAATTAGAAGTTTGACGAGAGTTGATAAGACGAAAAATAAATTAAAATATATTAAAGGGAATCTTAAAATTTTAATTAGAAGACAAATACGCAAAGTTTAGACGGTTGTTAGGCGGGCTCAGGTGTCTGTACACCTGGCGAGATAGGAGTTCGTAAGCAATGGAGAGAGAAGACGAAGAAAAGAAATATATTAAGATATATAAATAAATTAATTTGCAAGTTAAATTATTTTAATTTATTTATTTTATTTTTATCTTTATAAACCTTGTTAATGCTTCTGCTTGTACAGCAGGCGCTCCTTGGGGCTTAGTCTAGCAGCAGTCGCCTGGTAGCATGTAGTAGGAGCTTCGGCTGTATCTTTTGTGTTGTTGAGTTTGTAGTATTTGTTTATAATTTTCTACATTTATTTATTTATTTATTGCTTCAGCTGCAACCCGGCAGGAAGCCGTTTGCAGCGGCAGCAGTTTGCATGCAGCGCGAAAAACTTCGTGCATGCATGCAGAACAAGGCGTCTGTACACCTGAAATAATTCTTTTTATATTCTTTTCCTCCAAAGATGTACGCCGCCACAGCTGCAGCAGCCCGTCGCGTCGGGAGGAGTATCCCCTCAGCAGCAGCAGCAGCAGCAGCAGCAGCAGCAGCAGCAGCAGGAGCAGCAGCAGGAACATCAGCATCAGGAGCAGCAGGATTAAGGGGCCTTCGTTTGTTTGCTGCTCCTCTCTGCAGCAGCAACAAGCGCTTCTTCTCTAGTCTTTCTGCTGCAACACAAAGAAATACAAATACTACATCAATCGGCAACAGAGATGAGACAGCAGCCATCGATAAATTCACAGGGATCCCTCAAGGAGCATTCAATCAACCTAAAGCAGGTAAGTGTATGTGTGTTTGTTTTTGTTTGTTTGTTTATCTTTTCTCGTTCTTCTTCTTCTGCATTTCTTCCTCTCTTATAACGAACAGGTGTATTTGTTTGTTTGTACACACAGCCTGCTGTATATATATATATATATATATGTGTGTGTATATATATATGTATATATATATATATATGTATATATATATATGTATATATATATATATATATATGTGTATATGTATGTGTATATATACTACATAATATACTACATATATATATATATATAAACATTATATATTATGTGTATCTATTTATATTTATTTATTTATTTATTTGTTTATTTATCGTTATGTTTATCTCACTCCTCTGCTTGTTGTTTGTTTGTTTTTTCTTCACATGTTTATATCATTAGAATAATATATCAATTTGTTGCTTTTCGTTAGCTTATTCATCCTCTTATTCAATCCTTGTTATAAATAGATTTATTTATTTATATTAATTTATATTTATTTATTTGTTTGTTTGTTTATTTGTTTAGAAATAACTACGCTTTCTAACGGTATTCGCGTTGCTTCAATTAAACTGCCCTTTGCACGTTCGATTACTGTCGGTGTTTGGATTGACAGCGGCAGCAGATTTGATAAAAAGAATACAAATGGTGCTGCTCATTTTCTTGAACATATGGTCTTCAAGGTAATTTCTTTTGTTTATAATTATTCTTTTATCTGCTGCTTCAAATGCTGCTGCTTCTCCTGATGCTGCTGATGCTGCTATTGCTTATTCTATCGCCGGTGCTCCAGTCGCAGCAACACGAGTAGCAGCAGCAGCATCAACAGCAGCAGCAGAGCAGCAGTAGCAGCAGCAGCAGCAGAGCAGCAGTAGCAGCAGCAGCAGCAGAGCAGCAGTAGCAGCAGCAGCAGCAGCAGCAGCAGAGCAGCAGCAGCAGTAGCAGCAGCAGCAGCAGCAATAGCAACAGCAGCAGCAATAGCAACAGCAGCAGTAGCAGTATGTATGCATAGACATATTGCATAGATATATTTGTATAAGTCTATAATATAAAACAAATGCACATATATATAATTCGTACAAGGTTTTTATTGTCATTGTTTATTTGATGCAGGGGACAAAGAGAAGAAGCAGAGTGCAGCTAGAAAAAGAAATAGAAAATATGGGTGCGCATTTAAATGCATATACTTCAAGAGAACAGACAGTGTGAGTATACACCGCAACAACTGCAGCAACAAATTATTTATTTAAGATAATCTTCTTCTATTAACGCTTTCTATGCTTTTCTTTTTTAAATTGCGTCCTTTAAAAACTGTTATATAGACAAAGAATTTATTATTATTATTATTATTATTACATTTATTATATTATTATTTGTATTATTATTATTAGATGAAATGCGTTATTATTATTCTTTTATGCTCCTTTTATTATATTATTATTTTATTGCTGTACTTGTGCGTATATACGATTGTATATACGTACATATTCATAGTATTTATATATTTTAATCTATTTATATATAATCAATTATATTTATTAACTTATCTATATATATAATTGTACGTACATACATGCATGCATATATCTATTACGTGGGTTAATGTAAATAAATATATATATACATAATATATATGTATATATATATATATGCATTTATATATATATATATATATATATATGTATACATATATAGTATTTATTAATTTGTATACATTTATATATTTATATATTTATATGTATTTACTGATTTATCTATATATCTATATATATATTTATATATATTTATTTATATTTATTTATATTTATTTATATTTATTTATATTTATTTATGTGTATGTATTTATTGCAGATACTACGCGAAGGGTTTTAAGGACGACTTAGGCCGATGCTTGGATATTTTGTCGGACATTTTGTTAAATTCAACAATTGATAAAGAGGCATTAGAAATTGAAAAAAGAGTTATTTTGAGAGAAATGAAAGAAGTAGAAAAACAAACAGAAGAAGTAATATTTGATAGACTTCATATGACGGTTAGTTTATTTCTTTTGTTCTATCTTCAGAATTTTTTTTGCTTTTTATCTATTTCTATTTATCCTCTTCATATATAGTTACTTTTAACTTTTTGACAGAAATAAAAGATATGAAGAAACAAACAGAAGAAATAATTTAGGCCTTAGGGTTTAGGGTGTTAGGGTTTAGGGTTTAGGGTTTAGGGTTTAGGGTTTTAGGGTTTAAGGATTGATAGATTTCATTAAATAGAGGTTTTTATTAATTTATATTCTTTTGTTGGAGTTCATTATTCTTTTTTTTGCTTTAATTTATAATTTTAAATTATTATTTTATTATTATTATTATCTTCGTTTGTTTTAGTATATTTGTAATTTTCTTTTAATTGTTAAAAACTTTTCTCTTAACTTGTATTTCAAATTAAAATATTTTATTTATTTTAATGCATTTATATTTATATTCTAAATAGAAATTTGAATATCTTCTTTAAGTAAATATTCTGAATAAAAGAATTTGTATATATTTTTTACATGCATATTTTGAATCAAAGAATTTGATCATATATATTTTGAATGAACAATTAACATAATAAAGAACTTGAAGAATATTTTTTGTAGAAAGTTATTTGAATA